AAGGAAAACGCCTAGCTCCAGACTCCTGAAAACATAGCCTTTGAGATGACTATGTTCAACAACTTAAATTACCCTATGGCCGGTTGAATACATTCGTTGATATCACCATGTGAGCATTGGTGAGATTAGACAACATGCATTTAAACACAGCGAAGATCATGACGCAACAAATATTCCTAGTCTAAAATACCAACTCTCATGAACTGGACATAAATTACGTATATCTTTTCCACGGATTCTTTACACTCAGCAACATTTTCTGCATTGAGTGATTACTCACTGTGTGACATTGTGGCACAGAGTAAAGAACAATCGCACTGCATTAGTTTATTTAAACCAATTAGTACGTTCTAAATGAAGTCCGAAAGGTCAATGGACCCTATCTACGGCTGAAGATATTAACGAACATTTCTAGAAATAGAAGTCCTTAACGTCTTGTTATATCGTTCGATTATTTCCTGGCTCATACATAAAACTATTCTATAGGAATGACGTAGTTTATCTTAGAATTTTTATCATTCAAACTGTATTCTCTAATATTTTCATATATTTTGTAACTGTGGCATTATCTTTGCTTTTATTTATTTGCAACATTTTCATTTTATTCTGTGTAGAGTAGTTTCAGTTATCTCAGTCATCCCGGTTCTATTGTTTTAATAAAAGGTAATATAAATACCAGATACACAGAAATTTCAAAAACATGATTTCAAGGAAATCTCTATTGATTTAAAAAAAAGCTATTTAGAGCATAATCTGATTTTAATGAAAATATTTATAAATATGTATCAAACGATCTCTGATATAATTAACCAAGTGAGGAATTTCCCTTAAATATTCGAACCGATAGGTACTTAGAATCTAAGATTAAATTTTAAGTAGACAAAAGTTGACAAATCAGACATTTAATACTAACTCAATTTTCATTAGCATGTTAACAACTAGTTCACTAAACTGATTGAGCATACATCTTATTGAAAAGTTGAAGCTTAAATAGAAATGTAGAAGCCTCAAAAGTTGATATATTCCAAACAGGAACCATTATTACTATTATTATTATTATTATTAATTTATTAATTATTAATTATTAATAATGGCTTTATTCAGTATTATATTTTTGGTACAATATAGAATTCTCAGCACAAAGTGTTTCAACAAGTTTCCCTTTCTTATTTCTTAAAAGATCCTAATGATAAACATTGATATCTTGTAGTGATAGTGAGCAATCGTCTTGTAAATAATTTAACCAGGGTTTGTGATTACACTGCAGACATGCATGTTTAGACTTAATAAGAAGTGAAGACAGTCCACCTTGGAAATTAGTCATTGCTAGTTAGATGTTAGCAGTTCAGGAACCGACATCTTGATAATGTTTATTCTTTTCAATGCATATTACCAGTCACGACGATGTCGCTGATTGTACTTTATTGCAACTTGTACAGCGAAAGGTCGTTAATCTACATAAACGCGCCTGAATAGTTTGCGAGATTAATATACATAAAGATGTGTTGAAACAAACAAGAATAGATAATTTGTTGAAATATCTAGATGGCAAGAACAGGTAACCCATGAATTCAAGCAAGCCGCCAATGCACTGTGGAATGCAGAACCGTAAACTTCTAACAAGTAATAACATCCTAACAGTTACACAAAAAATTACTGTAATTGAACCATGAACAAGTAAAATATTTGAAATTTAAAATACCAAACTGATAAAAATGTATATTAAAAAAGATAATTTAGATATAGAGGCATTACACTACTGTCAGTACCAGGAAAAGTTATCAACAGAGTGTTGCTCAAAGATCAAAGATTCATTAGACGTCCAACTTCGAGATTAACAGACCGAATTCCGCAGGGATCAGTCGTGCACAGACCAAATCAAGACACTACGGATCATCATTGAACAACCATTTGAGTGGAACTCATCACTGTACATCAACTTCATTGATTATGAAAAGGCATTTGACAGTGCAGATAGGAGAACGTTATGGAAACTTCTTCGACACTATGGTGTACCTGTGGAAATCGTCAACACCATCCGGAACTCACACGACGGACTACAGTGCAAAGTGGGGCATGGAGGACAGGTGACAGACACATTCCAAGTGAAGATTGGTGTCAGACAAAGATGCCTACTCTCCTTCTTTCTCTTTCTTTTGGTGGTTGACCGGATTATGAAGACCTCCATATCTGAGGGAAAGCACGGAATACAATAGACAGCTTAGATGCAACTAGACGATTTTTACTTCGCAGATAATCTGATCCTTCTATCCTATATACATAAAAAATACAGGTCAAGACAAACAGTTTAGTAGCAGAAGCCTCTGTATCAGTAGGCGTAAACATACACAAGGGAGGAAGCAACATCCTCAAATAAAACTCCAAGAACACGACCAAACCATCCAGCTCAGAAGACAAAACTCCAACAAAAAAAACGGAAAACACCAACACAATCACACTTGATGGAGAAGCTCTGAAAGATGTAGAAACTTTCACGTGCCTGGGCAGCATCATCAATGAAAAAGGAGGATCTGATGCTGACGTAAAGGCGAGGATTGACAAAGTGAGGACAGCATTCCCACAGTTGAAGAACATATGGAACTTAAAATATCTGTCAATCATAATCAAAGTCAGAATTTTCACTACAAACGTCAAGGCAGTTCTACTGTACGGTTATTAAACTTGGAAAACTACCACAACCACCATCAAACATGTACAAGTATTTATGAACAATTGTCTATAAACAATACTTAGTGTCCGTTGGTCAGATACCATCAGCAACATTTTACTGTGGGAGAGAACAAACCAACTTCCAGCTCAAGAGGAAATCAGGAAAAAATGCTGGAGGTAGATAACATGTACGTTGCGGAAATCATCAGACTGCATCATGAGCAAGCGCTAAGTTGGAATCCTGTAGGGAAACAGAAACGAGGAAAGCCAAGGAACACACTATGTCAGGAATTGGAATCTGACGTTAAAGGAATGAATAGGATTGCCCAGAAGAGAGTTCGATGGAGAATCCTGGTGGGAAGCCTACACTTCCCCACGAAGGATAACAGTCGTAAATAAGTATAAACAATGTATTTCAGAATAACATGTTAACAGACTTAGAAATATGTCAACTAAGGACTAATAATAATAACCAAACAGTGGTATTACATCGACTTCTAAAACTGCTAACAGCTCGTATTACGCATGTAAAACACTAGGGTTTTCTTAATTAAGGCAAATGAAATTAGACAAAGTGATGGATCAAAGCTTGGAGTCATTTAAATGTTATACCTCTGTAATATTACTCTCTTCATATTACTTATTTTTCGCAACTCCCAATCAGTCTTTGTCAAATCATACAATAGAAACTAAGTACTGAACAGGAGACATGCCTCTGTGATGTGATGAAGTTATTTTCTAAATTATTTACTGATCATCAATTCACTGCCTCTTGAAATTGATGCAATGATGAAACAGCACACTAGATCAGTTATCTATGTGTCATGTAAACTAACTGTTGATAAGCAAAGTTGTTAGTAAGCTCGGAGCAGGATTTAATCCAAACTTATCGGTAAACCAATACTTGATTTTTCTATGTCTTCTAATTCTCTAGTTCTGATCATGTCATTATATTCAATCCTTTGTTATTTTCCCTTTGTTTCGATTTTTCGCATCACACTAATTGTAAAATATAACAAATCACACTAGTATACGTTTATGTCATTTAAATTGTTTCCTTGTCTGATTACTCTTTAGTGCATCATGACGCCACTGAAGTTTAAATCTGTTTACACAAATGTATCTTCTGTTATTTGATTCAGACTGATTCTTTCTTTGAATACTTAAAACACTAACAGATTACAGGCTAATTTCCACAGAAAATTATCAAAAAATTAAAAATAATGTAGTCTTTATATGTACAAATTATTTTACTAACGATGGTTATGAGAATTAGTAAAAAACTTCTGTTTCACATGTAACGTCCTGGTTTTACTTTTGGACGTTTTAGAACAGAGTAATTCTGTGTTGTATAGAATCTTAATTGATAAATTTAGTGAGGAATCACTTTAAGTATACTACGAATAAAGCTGTGAATAAACATTTAATATCCTAGAATAACCTGGTCAGTGTAATTATTATCACATATAAATCATTTACTTCACTCACAATTTTCTCTTTGCTTATTCTCTAGAAGTAGGAGGTAAAAGGATGTTCGAATAAAAACAAAATGTAAGAAAAACTCCGCAACATCTTATCCAGTGTAAAAGAAAATCATGTAATGAAAAGACTGTACATACAAAAAATGCAGCAAAAATACCTTCCTGTTAAGGGCACATAGTTATTAATCAGTACGTTTTTGGGTTATTGCACATAATCTATATTTCATTAAATATTGTAACACCATATCATCATGATTAGGTGTTTGATTTATCCTGTTATTGATGATCATGATTCAATTTTGACCAGTCTTTATTGGGATATGTACATATTATGGATTAGGGCCTTAATGTGAACATCAACACTGAGAAGCACTGACGAGTATCAAATATGATAAAACGTACATGAATTTCATTGCCAACTACAATCCATCTATTCAAAATTATAACCTTATATCTATTTTTACTCTATCACTTTACACACTAATATTATATTGAAACATAAAAATGCATAATACTGTATAAAATGTCTATTTAATTAAATTTAAGTGGTTCGCTGTTTTATAACATTTTTATATAGAACTAATAATGAGAATTTTATGTGAATAAATTGTACATGAATCACTTAAAGTTCATACAATTTAGAAAATGAAGCTCTAGTGTAGTAGGATTTTAAGTAATCAAATTTCTGCCATTGGACATCGAATTCAAATCTAACATGCCTCAGTTTGAAGTGTAAAAGAGAGTTCATTTTAAAACTTAATATAAAACTTCTATTAAGTGAAATATATTTATTTTAATATCAAAGATATGCAATAAGAATAACAGTTAGTATCATATATATTTAGTTACCTTAGGTTTTGTCCCAGAACGAACATCACTTATTTGAGAGAGTTCAAGCTGCTGACTATCCTATAAATAAGAATTAATAATACGAAAAATAAAAACCAATTGAGATGTCTTTTCGTTTTAACTTAATATTTAAAAAATCGCAAAATCATTGGACAAAAAATAGAAGAGAGAGAACAGTAACTAATCTCTTATCACAGGGTTTCAAACTATTATTTGATGATTTAACAAACAAGTAACTAAAAATATAGTAAGAGTTTTCAAAAACTTTATAAATAAAATAATGAACTACCAAATAACATTTTTTAGTTATAATGAGTTATTCAAAAAATGAACGAAAACCATAATAAAAGTGGAGACATAGGATTAATTTCATCAGTACACTTCTTTTTTATTTCATTTTTAGGCAATTTATAAAACCTTTCTACTATTAAACAGTTATCCAAATCTTAATGCATTCTCATTTTTTAGTCACTATTAAATATTGTCTAGATTATAAGTGTTTATAGTCGGAAATAGATCATTCAGTCAGTCATACGTAAGATAGAACCTGGTTCACACGTATGCCTGTTCGAGTTGCCAAAGTACATCATTACAGCAAGATTAAAACATTTCAAGACTAATGAAATAGTAGTAGAAATTATAACAGTATCATTTATAGTAGAAAACATTCGGCATTGACATTGAATTTGTGGAATAAAAACTATAAGAGCATTTTAAAACTCTGGAACTAAGGGGAAAAACAAAAAGTGAATGTACCTAAACCATATCTCCACTCAACATTTTAAACCCTTGATTACGATAATCGAGCAGATCTAAACCTGTTTATCTATATCAACCAACATAGTCCAACTCAATAGTCAATGACTTCATAGAGTAATACAAAATCATGGTTTGTGCCTCCCTAAATATATATTTATCTTTCTACAGTTATTTTTGTTGTTTTAAAAATGACCAAGAGTACATTATAAAACTATGACACAATTTATTTCTATTATCTTATCATCAAATTATTATTATTACACTCAATTACCATAATTATCACTTAATAATTGTTCATACCGGTAGATTTTTCTTAAACTTCACTGAAATGTCAAGATTTCCATCTCATAAACTACTTATTTGGCGACAGAGTTTTGAATGATTTCTGTATTTTTATTTCAATACAATTTCATTATATCTAAACATTCAAAGAGCGACTTTTTAAAGTTCCTTCTAATAAACAAATGTATGGCTCTTTACTTTACCATCCAACTCGATTACTCAAACAAAAGGATAAAAATAGATGGCAGGAAACAATTCGTTTTGTCGTACACGTTTTCTTACCTTTTGCGTTTGGGAAATATTACATGTTTGAATACATATGTAATCATAAAAATCTTAGTAAAACTAACCATCTATCCTTAGTTATTTAATACTAATTAAAATAAAACCAATACTCTATATACATTAATAACCTTACATTGTTTTCACTTTGCCAGTATATAAAAAAGCCATCTTTATCTACTCGAACGAAACAGTTTGGTTCCAGAATCCCCGTTTCCTAAATAATAAATAGGAAAAAAGGTGTTAGTAATTTGCAGAGCTATAAGTCCAAGTTTATTTAATTGATAAAATCTTAAAGATAGGATAGTTATGCGTTTAGATTTTTATATTTTACAGCTAACATATGAATTCCCCAGAATTGCAATCACACAATGTTTACGCATTTATACAGCACAGTCTTGACCGAGTCATCCAAACGTAAGGAATTTTGGTAATACAGTTGTAATTTAATACATTTATTTCAGTTAAATAAAATTTTCGATAATTTTTCAAGGGTTAACAACTAATTTGTACCAACTACCTGGATTGAGGCAATCAGGAAGTTCATATAACTTCAATGTAGTTATTTGAATTCACAGCTAATTAAAGTGAAAACCAAAGACACCAACATCTTGTTTGGAACAAGTTTATGAAAATTAATTTATCACGATAGTTTTCTTCAGTACGTGACGGACTACAAATTAATGAGTAGACGAGTGGATATTTACTTACTGGCTGAGTTACGAGTCTAAAAATACTTCAGCAATTATATTTCGAAAACTAGGTGCTTATATTACGCTTAGTTCACAGCTTCCCCGAAAAGAACTTGGATACAAATGCAGTTACCGGCTACAAAGCTAGATAAATAAAGAACATAACACTGAAAGTTAACTATACATCCCTTTTAACTTTATAACCACAGAATACAAAAAGAACATAGTAAACGGAAACCAACGCACCACAGTTCCAAATTACTAACTACACATCAATTCAATAGTTGTAGCTCAAAAACAGCGCAAATTCATAATCAACTAGGTTTCTACAGATCAGAGAATGAAACTACCGAAATCATACACCTGGGATAAAAATCTTCTCTACCATCTCAAAACTTTCTCCTGTTTGAAGCAAACCGTGAACACTCATTTAATTAACATTCAAATGAAAGAAAATTTTCAGGAGACCACATTTGTTACCATCTTATGTATGATTTCTAATACAGAATACACATATAGGCCATGAGAGCAGTGAGGAACAGCAGACAGAAAAATAACTATTAAGATGGATCTGTAGTACCATTTAAGTAAGACACGAGAACTGATAATACTCAGGTTCATATGCTCTGGAAAATTGTATCATCCTGTTCTGGATACTGAAACAATGATACAGTAAGTAGCCTTTGTGCGCTACTAAGAATGACCAATAGTTACTGTCTATAGTTAACGGATAATCATCTATCCAACTACAGTATGTTATTTTAGAGACTGGGTGAGACCTTGAAGAGAATAGTTTTACGTAACCTTCCAGAGTAGCTTTGCGTACTCTGTGAGTAACTCAGCATTAGAATAAAGCGATTAAAATGACAACCACAACTGTGTGCTTTAAAGACTTCACCTTTCAAGAATTACGCAACACCGTAGCTCAGAACAAGGATTTCGAACATTTTACTTTCTGATGATTAAAGCGCTGAAAATACAAGATCAGTTTACTTCACAGTGCAGCTGCCTTGGCCTATGTAATACCTTTAACAGTTGCTGAAGTTTATTTTGTAGATGATGTTCAATTTGTCTCCGTTTGTTGATTGGTGATCTGTATCTTACACATGATGGTAAAACATGTTGGTGTAAACATTTGTAGAGAGAATATAATTGTTCTATTCTGGAAGCTTGCTCTTTAGCAAAGTTTTACTACACAGACTATAAGACCTAGCAAACTAAGAAAAATACTGGGAATTCCTTTTACATTTTTAAATTACTTATGCACAGATAAAGTTTCAAGAGTTAGAAGTTGTGTTTAAACAGTAGTATTACTGCCACAACTAGGCAACATAAAAATAACTTGACACCAACTGAAATAGAACTAAAATTATAAAGCGTTAAAAATGACAAGCTCATAATGATATTGGTTGTTGATTTAGATATTATGAGGAAGTACAGACCTCATTGAGGTTATCGAGATAACAAAAATCAGCGACCGAAAGCGACAGGTGATTTGTCTAAAAATCAACCACAATGTGGCGGATGTATTCACTTTTTATTAATATTGAACATACATATTTGCTGTTAAAATATCTTTCAGCTTTAGTTGGTTTACTTTTCTGCTTCTACTGTAGTGTAGAGAATCTTAGATGAATGCGTACTCCTATTTTGATACTTTTATCTGCTTGACCTACAGAAAGACCTAGTAAATTGAATATAGCGCAGCTTCAGCAAGTTTTGACAGTGTGAAATAATAACTACCCTGATAAAACACTTCAACTTGTGGCAATCATGCAATAAGATGACACTGTAATAATAGCCGGAGATATTAATACTGTTATAAATAAAACACGCAGAAGAAAAATAGACATGCTGAAGAAAGTAATTCGTAAACGAGCAGTCATAAAACATAAAATACTGCTTAAATATTTCTGAAATTTCGTAGGAAAACAAAACAATAGTTTGTAATTGTTCAATCTGAGACTAGCTTCTTTACAGAGCACTAATGAACGTTTCCAATCGCACTGCTTATTGACCACTAAGTGAAAAAAAAATTTCACATACCTAGTTTCATTAAAGTAGAAAATTATTTGTGTTGACATATAATCCCAGCATTGTTTACATAATAAATACAGCTTGAGTGAATCATTGATCAAAACTCGTTTTTCATTTACCTTAGAAGCACAGCTTTTAACACAGTAACTCAGTTTTCACTTGGTCTGAAAAAAAGGTCTATAAAAACCAAATCAGTTTGGGATGCAAAGCACTAGCACCCTATGAGTGATAGATTAGTGGTCAAATAACTGAGTTTTCAACAAATATTAGGGTGTTTGAACCCCGTTCCAATTATTGAAGTAAGATCAACCGCGTAGTATAAGTAGCCGTCATATAGAAAGGCTCAAAGCCAAATACGTAAACGCGGATATTGTATATGAGTTAAGTCAAAATCACAACAGATAAAATTTGATGTGGATAGTTACCTCATCATATCGATCAAAATGCTCCCCAGTCTGCAAAACTTCAGGAACCGGTCTTTTCCAGACAAATTCAAATGCTTTGGCTGATGGAACAGTTCTCTGACGTTTAGCGATATCTGACGTCATTTATAGGTGCCTGTCACGGATTGTGCACCGATTTATAGATTATCCTGAACAAAATGTGGGAAATGATTAAACTAATCATAACCATAATGGTAATGCAGCTTTATAAATAATTTTAACTTTGAGTTCAAAGCTACCGGCTGCAAAACAATAAACATTTTAATTACAAGGTTTTTAAACAGTTCTTAAGAAACTACTACTAAAAATGAGAAGTTATTATCGGTGGACTCCAGGTCATAATTGATTGAATGAAGAACAGTATCAAATTAGAAGATTCATAAGTCACATTTCAAATCTATCAACAACTGAAATTATTCCTGTTATTAGTTAGTAAACCAGTTATATTCAGTATGGAACCCGACACGAATATGTATGGACTAAATTTAACTTATTTTACACCGCCATACAAAACATAGGAAGATTAGAGCAGACTGAGTACGACTTAATCCATTGGAAAGTTGAACATGAAAAACGTTATTCAGTGAACATATCAAATAATGAGATGGGTGGTGTATCAAAGATATTTTTCACAGCTCAAGAGTGACTTTGGCGCTTTGAGCTACGTTTAAGACAATTGAAATACGATTTAATGCACTTAAGACATCTTGACAAGGTGATCAAAAAGATAGATAATAGTAAAACTGATAGCTCGTGAGATACGTCAACAAAAAATCAACAAACCAGAGAAAACATCAATCATTCAACCCAAAACCTGTGGGTTTCACTCTCTTGGCAATATCAACGGAGAAAGACGTACTCAAATCACTGAACCCAGCCTTCATGGGATCTAAGGCTTTAATAATAAATATGCAAACTCGCCTTACACGAACTCATAGTGACGGCTTCATACATTGAAAACTACGATTATTCGTAGTCGGATATAAAATTTAACAGCTTCAAGCAATTTATCATACTCATTTTTGTAACATTGAAAAACGTTAATCAATTAGGTCTCATGAAGTGTCAAGACAGATATATCAAAAACCTATGATATTAAAAGCTCCATAACTGCGAGACTTAAATCAGGAGGTAAACATTATAGGGTTACCTAAACTATCCCTGATCAAAGAATTGACTACAAACTAGTTCACTATGCTCTGATAAGTTTTTTTATTTTACAGAGGGAAACAGTCATGCATACGGATTTTGAATGTGAAAACTAAAATGTGGTAAGTAAGCGCGATGAAAATCTAGTGATACTATCATCCCTTTGAATGAACGGTGTATGAATCATATCTTTGATGCTTTTCATATATCACAGATAATACAAGTCTTTCGCTGGACAGTGCTAACAGCAGGAACATGAGGTTAGTTATTGTGTGAGAATCATATGCATGTATAGTGATGAAAAATAAACCCCACTAATCTTTGCTCCTAATACGTGCGACGATACTTTTAATAATTATTTGTAAAGCCACAGCCATGACCTTACGCTTTAAAACATCTACTGCATAGCTAAAAGACCTGGGAGCCTCTTCGACATATATGTCCCAGATAGCACTGTAAATATCATTAAAGCCTACGCTAAGGTTCATTTTCAAAACTCCAATATAGTCCTCTCACCAACTTCGCATTTAATCAATGGATATTACAGAGCACAGGATAAATAGTCAAAGACAACTATAGCCTGAATCACTTAACGATTTACTGAAAATAATTTGTCATTATTTACTCAATTGAAACTATGCCTGAAAGTGACAGTAAACATTATCGTAATTAGAAAAAAGTGGAATAACTTGACAAACGAATATATCCTTGCGAATACAACTTTCGAAAACAAATAATTATATGCTATTGTTACAGCTGATAACCTTCAAAAACATTATTTGAGAGTCAGTTGACTTAACATGAATATACAGAAAAACACAGTCAACTTACATCTGGTTAGAAACAGGCGCCAGAGTACAATGAAAAATCTTGATGCACTTAGTACCGCTAAACATAAAATTCAATGTCGAACAACAAGTATGTTCTGACATTAGAAGTACTTGTTAGTGACTTGTCTATTGGTTTTCCTCACACTCTGCTCCAAATGCAGATGATCCAGAGAATGAGTGAATCTACAAAGTTCTATGATTATGAGCATACTTGGCAGAGCTTCGAATAGATCACTAAACATTATGGGGCAAGTAAAACGACACTAAGCCGTATTTAAATCATTCATAATATTGCTGAATGTCGAACAGTTTATCGAGCCTCGCAAGTGGCAAGGATGATCAACATGCATCAGTCGACTGCACGTACACACTGACGCATCCAGTGTTCTCACTGATACATCTTGTTCTAGCAGTAATATTATCAATTCTACCAAGTCATCACAGTAGATGACTCGCCTGACTGTCAGAAAAGGCCAATCTTGGCTACGTAGTTGCCATCAGATGTGTCCTCAGCGTTAGTCAGGAGGCCTTAGCATTCCTGTCTAAATCAAGTTACCATGACCATCGACACAGATAATCGAAATTCATGAACGACAAATTTTAAATGAATAAGATAATAAATTTCAAAGAAAAATCGTGGGAACAAATTCAGCCGTTATTAAATGATTAAATCTAGTTCCATAAACTCATCATAGAACAAACGAGCTTTAGTCTATTAAATATTCTGGTTAATTTTTTCCAATTAGCATTTGTCGTCTAACGGGATCGACTTCATTACCGAAAATTACTATTACGATTGTGATTCATATCTGTATTATCAAGAATCTATCCGATACTGTCTCTTATTTGAAGTTGCGTCCTTTTTCTTCTTTTCAGAAAGTGATATACAAGCAAAACGTCATTTACTACGTCAAAGTGTATAAAGAAGAAGGTTTTGGTGCAAGATATGTTCAGTACATAATGCAGACTGTTGCAATGCGCTAAAAATCTATAAAATTTCAGGTTGTGATAAAGCTTATCGTGATGTGGTATATCTCGTTATGCTTAAAGCAAAGTTTCTTCAAAAACCTCGAAGCGTCATCAGATTTACAACTGCTTAGTCCTACGTACTATGCATATACTGGATAAAGAAGTGTGGAGGATTCTGTGACGACTTACACGTGAAAAGTTCCAACTTAAAATCGGATCGGTTAGCTCCAAAGAATGTAAGAAGTTTCCTATCAAAACATGTTTTACCGTCCAAACAAATATGGCGTGTTCATCTTAAAAACTTCGTGAAAGTTTAAGTATGTAATGGTCATGATTTCAAGAGTCATCAATAGTCTTAATCTCCTGCTATATTACAGGTGCCTTAGAAACTGTTACTTTCTGCTAAAACCTTCATGACATCACCGAATAATAAATTGGCACGATACAAGGATTCGAAAATAGAAACTTTTCAATCATCAGAAGTTGACATAAAGATTCATAATGAACTTCGAAAAACCATGTCACCTCAAGCGACAGAAATTTTTGCATTATCCGCAAAACATGTTTAACCTCGGTAGTCTCTAGCCGGCTAATCAAGGCGTTCCTACGCTCGACTATTGACTATGAGCCTATTGATAGTCAAATGTTTTAAACATTTGAGAAGTTTGTTTCTTGTACCCTGCAAATTTTGCTATGATCCATTACTAAAACACCGGTAACTTACGGTCCAGATAACAAATTACGAAGGTCAGGTTAAGGTACCAAAATTTACTGCAATCAATCAACCCAGCGAAGCTTCCAAAATAAAAAACCAGACTCAGACTGAAACCAGAAGTGTTCAAGATGGAATTTATGGACAGACAAACTCAAAATTTGAGTGGAACAAAAGCAGTCACAACAGTAAGATTAGGGATATTCAACATGACATTTATCATTCAGTCAGATGCTTGCAGTTATTACTTTAGTGATTTTCGTTACGTTTAGTGACGCCTCAATGTGTAAAATTCACCCTTCACATATTGTTACGATGTTAAACTTCTTACTTTATCATTGTTCGTAAGATAAACCTATTCATTAATCGTCTACGCATAGGTGACGCCCAATAACTGAATTTAAATTTTTAGTTTTTTTCGTAACGGCAGCTACCGTTCAACATCCACCGAGTCATATCAGCTGATGATTGGTTGAAATGTGAAAATTATGAAGTGATAAGTTGAACGCTAAAAGAAAACGGTTGTTTGACGATCGAATAAATATGTTAATTAATTGGTTTTGCAGACAGTGTGAAAAGATAAAGTTGAAAGAACAAGAGGGAAACCGAAATGATAATAAGAGAGATCAGAACTACTTACTGGTTACGTCGTGACGAAAACTGGAATGAATTATGAAACATGCAAAAGACACAGCTGATGCAAGGTATTCTGTATTCTGCGTTTTGTACCGCGAGATATTAATGAGACTCAACTAACGCCAAGGTGTGTTTGATTAGGTTTTCTTGTTGTTACCTTGTAATGTTATTGGATCGTCACTACACGATCTTTGAAGCTGAACATATAAATACTGAAAAGATGTGCATTCAACACGTAACACTTGAATAAAATCTAAAATGGTGAACACGATAACACAGGATGGAGATAGCGTGGTCCTTCTATGTATGTGTAATCACTTTGTAATTTATGCCTTTTCATAATAAATGCACTATTCCATCTTCAGCCAAAACATTTTCTCCAGAAGTGATAAACAATTATGTGACTTCCACACAAAACCTCACAGATCAGGTTGTCACATCACGAGAACTCCACAACTTCGGAGTTATATTTATTATGAAAAGAGCAAGAACAAAGTTTCTAGAAGAATAGCATGAACTCGTTTTATCTCGTATGTTCTCGTCAGCTGCTTTCAAACTGCCATATTTAAAATCATATTTACATAATGAGTTTAAATTACTTACATGAAAGAGTTTGGTTGGGAGTTATATTGGAGACATATTCGTATAGTATAGCAAGGGTTTAAATAAAATTAAAAGACTGAATAATGCAAATATAGAACTTATGTGAAAGAACTATTTACAGGATTGATTGTGCCAACAGTTCAAACGGCCAGAAACAAGTGAATACTTAATGAATAAACATTGATAGGAATATAGTGAGTAGAGCT